AAATTCAAAACCCTAAACCCCTAAACCCCGAACACCCTAAACCCCTAAAGCCCTAAACCCCTAAAACCCAGCCCAAAAGCCCTAAACCCCTAGAAACTCCCCCAACAGCCCCGGCCCCGGCCTCGGCCTCCTCCTCCGCGGTGAGCTCCGGGGAGACCTCGGGCATGCTGTGCTGCGCCTCCACCTCCGCGCCTCGCAGGAGAAAGAGGGTGTAGGGTATTAAGGGTTTTAGGGTTTAGGGTTTTAGGGTGTAGGGTTTGGGGGTTTAGGGTGAAGGGTTTAGGGTTTTTTTTTTGTTGAACGCCTTTTTCCGTCCGCCTAATGGAGTCCGAAACTTCAAGATTTGAAGAGGCGCGTCGGCTACTCACTGGCTTTCACATGCACCCTTGCCCGTCTCGAAAAACACTCTCAGTAGCCACCGTCTGCTTCCGGATCTAGCTGGGTCCCCCTTCCACCACCATCATCTTCTCGGCTCAGCGATGCACCATGGCGTACGTCCATGCCCAGGTTGTCCATCGTGTCACCACCAGGGTCCCGCACAGCAGCATACTGGGCTTCCATCAACTCCAAAACGTCCGGGCCGTACTGCAACTTGACAGCCTCACTCGAGATTTGACCCATTTCCCACTGGCTGTAGAGGAGCGAGAACTGTGCGTAATCCATGCCCGTGTGCTCCTGTCCCTCCGGCACAGTACTGCCCACTGCAACCGGCCGCTCCTCGGGCCCCTCCACAGTCCGGTGTGGCCCACCTGCATCCTCCGAAGCCGGCGGGTCCACGATGACCGTCGCCACTTCGCTCTCGGAAACTTCATCCACCATCACGGCCCGAAGCTTCAAGATAAGGGCACCCTGATCCGGCACCGTCATGACCCGGCGCCACGTGCGAGGCCTGTCCTGAGAGCCCGTCGCCTCCTCCCCTTGCACTTCCAAGTCGACGACACACCTACGCCTGGTGCGCATTGTCCTGCTCTGCTGGCTTGCTCTCATAGACTCTTCGTGAAGTCCCCAGTCTTCCCAGGCTTGAAACAGGGCCGCCTGGCGCTGCAGCATGCGGATCTCCTCGTCTTCGATCAACTCTCGTTCCTTCTGCCTGGCTCGTTCCTCCATCTCGGCTTCTCTTCTAACTTCTTCTTCATCTCTGGCCATAGCATTGATCTCCTCATCCGTCAGTCCCCGGTGCCCTTCGACCACAATGGGGCCTGGGCCCATGTGAATGGCCGTCGCCATGCCCGGGAGGAAAGCCTCGAGCTCCTGACCCCAGGTTTGCAGCCACACCTCGTCCTGCTCAACGGGGTGTACCGGTTGCTCCAGGTCCATTGCGGTGAGGAGCGCAAAGAGCTGGTCCTCCTCCTCGCTCCAGTTGTTCACATCCACCCTGTTGAACAGCCGGGCGCGCAGTTGATGCACGTGGCTGCGTTGCCTAGCTGGCGCCTGAGACACCAACTCCTTCTGCAAGCGAATCAAGGCTCTGCTCCATCGCTCCGCCCGGTTTGCCATCTCCCTTTGCATCAGGTGGGCCTCGTCCGAGTCCTCAGTCGCCATCGGCTTGCCGAGCTGCATGAGGCCGGTCTCGTCCCCATTGGCCTCCTCCTCAAGCTGGACATCCACCAGAACTTCGTCTCGATCGCTCGCTGCTCCCACTTGCAGCCCCCGTTCGAAGGCAACCATGACTTCTGCCATCAACATTCGAAGAAACCGCATGAAGGCCACCGTCATCACCGCCCGGTCGTGCGCATCGTACTGCGCCACCGTCTCACGAATCATGGCACTTGTGAAGTCCGGCAGCAATGCGTGTCCCGCCGCAACCACATCGTGCCCAGCCTCGAAGTTCTCCGCATCCAAGCCCAGCAGAAACCGCCATGCATCAACCCCCTGCGCCTCCTCTAGTCGCTCCGGCGGCACCGGTCTAGTGGAGGTATTTGTGCTCGATGCCGCAGCTTCGCTGGCGCGTGTTCCGCCCCCGGCCCTTGGCACCAATCTCCGGACTTCCTCGGTAACACAGGTGCGCGATCTTCTGGGCGGCTCTGGGCGTTCCACAGCAGTACCATGACGTGTCCCTGGGTCGCGGTCACGTCCTCGATGAAGCCATCTGGGGTTCACCCCCGAGAGCCTTTCTCCTCGCCCTCGGTCATCTGTTCTCCCTCTTGCCTGCGGCCGGGAGTCATCTCTGGCACGGCTGCGCCCCCTCCTTGTCTCCATGAAGGCCGCAGCATCATCTCCTTCCCCACAGTCTCCATGGCGTGCCCGGCTTCTGGATCTGTCGGCTCTGCGCTGGATGGCCGTGCGCTGCCGCTCGCCCCAAAAGGCACGCAGTTCGTTCAGAGCTTGGAAAACCCACTGTTCGGCCGCCTCTCGAAGCTGTTGTTCCTCCTCATGGGGAGTCCAGTACATGTCGCCCTCTTCACTCAGGTCCCGTGCCAGGCATTGTACGTAGGGCGAAACTCCGTCCTGGGCCTCCTGCGAGAAAGTTCTGGAGAGCCTTCCCCTCAGCTGGGTGATCATGTCGCCGTAGGCTGCTCCCCGCCTCACAAGTTGCAAAGCATCGGCCGCCAGGTCGAGGTACCAGTCAGGCATGACATCCTCAAGCAGGGGGCCGTCAACAGCTCCAGCCGTCTGGGCCAGCGCGTATCCCACAGTATGCCATACCGACAGCAGGGAGGAGTCGTCCCCCTGGCGACCCCGGGTCGATCTTCCGGTTGGCGAGCGGCTGCTTCCACTTCCCTCCCCACTCCGCTGTGCTCTGTGCTGAGCCAAGTCCAAGCAGTAGTGCTGCCAGTACCGTATCACTGCCCACCTGGCCCAACGGGCCCCTTCGGTCGGGCATTGATCTCTGTCTCCGTCCTCCGGCATGTCACTCAGCAGGGTTCCCATGTGGGCCACCACGTAGCAAACAAACTCCTCATGGCATCGCGATGCCAGCTCATGATGTAGTAGGTCTCGCAGTCCTCTGGTGTGCCCACCTGCCCCTAGCTGAGCCAACTCCTCACGAAGGGCACTGCGAAGCTCCCGCAGGCGTCTATGCCTGTCCAGCCCGCTGCGTGGGACACACAGGCCCGGCGACCCATGCATAGCCTCCTGGTAGCACTGGAAGGCATCGAAGACGACCTGCCTCGCGAATCTTTGTTCATCCCCGTCAAGTGGGGCGTGAAGCCTTCGAGCAGGGCCCTCATGAAATTCATGACGAAGCGGTTGAAGGCACACTTGGGCAAACGTCTCGAACCTAGCATCCTCCCTCTCCACCACCAGGGCCACCACATGTGCCCAAACATTACTCCACCCAAGCCCCCTTTCACGGAGGGCCCACAGGTCATCAATCCACCTCGTGCTCCATTGCCTGGGTATCGTTCTCGCTAGGTCCCTGACCTTTTTCCAGTCAATGCTGTCATCCAGCGGCGCCCCCCAGATGGGGGCAGGCGGCATGTGCCCCATCCCTGCTAGCTGTTGGCGAAGGCGATTGTAGCAGGGGAACGGCGATCCCATCGGGGGTCCTTCATGAACTCGCAGGTCTGCCACTTCCATGCTGGAGCTCGCAGCATCTTCTCTGTCACCCCTACTCATCGAGACATGCCCCACATGGTCGGCCAGGTCTGGGCTCATAGGCGCCCGAACTCGCTTGCGCCCGCCGCCTCTCGGCGAAGCGCTCTGGTCCGCCATCTCCTCCGGAATCAGGTAACCGTGGAGCTCCCCGTGGTGCTGCTCCCGCCGAGCGTGACGTCCTCGTGAAGAATCGTCAGCTTGAGGTTCATGAGCACCTGGTCCATGAGCATCTCTGCGGCCCTTCGCCCGAGATCTGATCTCGGCTACGATCCTGTCTTCCACGCTTCCAACCGGCGTGGAGATCCCTGTCCGTTCGTCCCCGGTTCTGGCTGTGATCCCAGCTTCCGCGCCTCCACTCGCCGGCGAGGTCTCTGTCCGCTTCTCCAGAATCTGGTTACCGTGGGGCATCTGGTGGTGCATCTCCCGCCGATCTTCATGAACTTGCGGCGAATCATCACCTACAGGTAGTGCTGCCACCGCCGTATCTTGTCCCTGCGCTTCCCGGGATTCAGCTGCGATCCCAGCACCCGTGCTTCCACTCGCCGTTGAGCCGTGCGGCATCTGGTGGTGCATCTTCCGCCGATCTTCACGACCTTGCGGCGGATCATCACATACAGGTAGTGCTGCCACCGCCGCATCTTGTCCCTGAGCTCCCCCGGCTTCAGCTGTGATCCCAGCTTCCGTGCTTCCCCTCGCCGTTGAGATCTCGGCATGCTTTTCCAGAATCTGGTTATCGTGCGGCATCTGGTGGTGCATCTCCCGCCGATCTTCATGTTCTTGCGGCTGATCATCGCGTACAGGTAGTGTTGCTGCCGCTGCATCTGCCCCTTCATCCCCAGGGACAGGTGGCATCGAAACAGGCAAGGGACTCCTCAAAATGCTCGGTCCTGCATTCATAGATGAAGTGGCCCCCATCACGGGAGCATTCGTAGTGCAAACTCGCTGGTCGTGAGAGTCACGTTGGATCTCATCACCTGGAGCTGTCGTGTTATGGAGGTCGGG